CCAGCCTGTCCAGATCCCTCTGTAGATCAACAGATCTACCCTCCAGCAGATCAACACTCCCACCCAGCTTGGTGTTGTCTGCAAACTTACTGAGGGTGCACTCGATCCCCTGTCCAAATCATCAATGAAGATGTTAAACAGAACTGACCCCAACACTGAGCCCTGAGGCAAGCTAATGTGTTCCAGAATTTCCCTAGTTCTGCAGGATCATATCACTTGTTGAGGTTTTTTTTTGTTTGTTTTTTTTTAAAAAAAAAAAGCATGCAGTTCAACATTTTTTTCCTGTTTTCAAAATAAAGGTTAACTTATCATTATTAAAGAACTGTAGTAGGAGTCTTTTGTTTCCAAGTACCTGAATTGCTTTCGGAGATTAATAGTGACTTTAACATCTGAAATGTGAAGGAAAAAATACTATTGCTTTGAATAGAAGTATTTCTACGTTTCAAAATCATGTGGATTAACCCAGTTCTGCTGAGATAAGCACAACACGAACTTTCACTCTGAAATGTTTGTTTAGATTTCAGATTGGTGTTCTAAGGAAATGAGGAATAAGCTAATCATGCTAATGGTCCATGTATTATTCCCCCCTCCAAGTACCTCTTTAATTTTTTGCAACTTCTTGAATTTTAAACCAAAATCAGTAAGAAGGATAGAACAATCAAAGTGCCTATAGTTGTCTTGAAACTAGCAGAAGTGGGAGACTGAAATTTGGAAGCTGAATAATTACGCTGTTGGGGTTTTTTTGTCTGGAGTTAGCAGGGTAGTACATGAGTAGAAGAATAGTTAGAGTGGTGTGCTAAAGAACGGGTTATCCAGTTGCTCCATCTTCATTTTCTTTCCTTAATCCTCTTCCTTCCCTCCTCTCAATAAATCTCTTCCAACAGCACTTTTAATCTGTGAGTTTTGAAACTAATTTCAGAGGGTTTAAATTCCTATCAAAATAATGAAAATCAGCACTGGGCAGAGGAAAGAAACCCTTCTTCCTGGGAAGGCAGAGGCAGAGCTCAGCCATTGAGTGCTCTGTTTGGCTGCTCAGTGACTAACTAGTGTTTCCTGTCCCATGGAAGGAATGGGGAGAAGCTGGACTTGCTTCAGTGAGGGAGAGGAGGAGATTCAAGAAGGACAAAGATGACTACAGATTTGCTGGAAAAGTTTTATCAGTGCAGCTATTTATAGAAAACAGGTTTTGTCTGTTAACAGTGTGAAGAATGATTAGGATGTTTGTGAAAAGAAACTGATGTGCATCTTCCGTCAGATACTTCAAGAACTTTCAGACTTTACAAGTCTCAAAGGCATTTCTTTTTAAAGTAATTAACTTTTTGCCTTCTGAATTATTTCTGGTTTGCCTTTTTTAATGTTAGAACAACAGAAATATGGTTCATGTCAGCTTAGTAAGGACATACCTAGAAAGCTTGATAACATACGTGTAAACTTGTATGGATTAAAAATGCAGACTTTGGTTTTGCGAGTAATGATTTTAAGGTAGCGTGACACTGAGGGCAACAAGGTGGACAACAAAAATATATTGCATTACTCTTAAGTAGTATCCCATGTACGTTATTTATATATCAGGCAAAGGTGCCTCATGTTTTGTGGAGATTTATCTTCCATCTTTTCTTCTGAGACTATCCTTCCTAGACTTAGTCTGTATTAAGGAAATCTCAGTTGTCAAGTTGTGCATTTTGGACCTGTTACTATAAATCCAGGATTCCTGTCTTTAGAAGGAAGGAATGTAAAATTCAGAGCACTAACACAACAGCCAGAAGTTGACCTGTTAGTAGCTGCTGCATATGACATCCGGATGGAAGAGAGTGGCAAATAAACAATGCACTATCAAAGAGAGCAGACAGGTGATAGTGAAGATAATGGCAGTTATCCCTTCTGCTGTGTCTCCAATGTGTTATGTTTATTGCAAGTCTTTGTAGCAAGACTTCTTGTCACTGCATAACATAGAGGAGAGAGTTAATTTCAGAGGCAGTAGAGTAACAGGAGTTTAGTGAACAGAGGGGCAAAAGGAAAACTGCCAATGTTATTCTGTTATCTCAAAGTAGTTGTCTTAGGGATTTATTTTAAAAATAACAATAAAATTGTTTGGAGGACTGAGTGGAGAAGTGTTGGGAGTATGTGCCATGCTCAGTCAGGGAGTCTTTTGCATTTGATTTATGTGACAAACCCTAGCTCTAACTAATGGAAGCATGGGAATGCTGTGCCAGTGATGCTAGTCTTGCTTGAGACCAGAAGTGGAGTATTGTGATGCTAGCTGAAAATAGCTGCTTCTTGCTATAAGAATGTTGATAGAACTGGGGCAATTTTGCACCAGTCTCTCAGTCAGTCTATCAGTTTCCTTCTGATGAGATCATGCAGTTGAAAGTGCAAACACAATTATCTGAATACCAGTAACAATTAGACTGCTGCTGGATTGTCTTACATAGACTGAGTTTATGATACTATTGACGCTACTATTAGTGTTAATGTATGAACTATGTTGGTGATGTATGTTACGTGTGGTAGAACAGTGAGATGGAGTATAGCTTAAGGAATTGTGTGGTAAATGTGGTGTGGATTTTATGTATATGATATTTTCTGCACTGCAAACTGTCCTCAGCATTGGAAACAGTCTCTTGAAACTTTCTGTCATTGCTTGATTTACTCTGTATTCTGTCTTTCCAGGTTATTTTCCTTCATTGGGGTTCCCTTCGAAGGGCTCTCCTGTATCTCTCAACTCTGACACTTCTTCTCTTGCACCTAACTTCATAGGTAAATGGTGTCCTTTCTGTGGGAATGTTTGTGCTGTGACACTACTTCTGTGCCAAGTTCCCATTTAATATGGATATTTGTCTCAAAGGTGTGGATACCTGGTTATTCAGGCAGAGGTGGGTGGGACACTTCCCAATCTCTTTGTAGGAAGCACTCCAGAAACAGAAATAGGCTATGAAGAATCTTAGTGGAAATTCCTTATGCCTGCAGATTCACAGATAAAACCTGACTTGTGACTAATGTTTTCTGAAGACTGATTTCAAAACCTGAATTGACCCATTCAGGTTCTGTCAGGGAGAATCCTTAGTTTACCAGAGTGCAATCTCCCACTTGAGAGAGAACTAAAACGTGAGGTTTGAAATGATAGCGTGGCAATGAAGAAATGAAAAATCTCCCCAAGCACTAGGAGGTTGTTATTGGACGTCATGAGGTTTTTGTAACTTTTGCTTTCGTTTAAGGGAGAAAAGAAAGTTTTAGTTTCTTTGGCTATAACATAGAAACCAAATATATGTTAGGAATAATTATGATTCCAAAAAACTGTGCCTTGAAGAAGGAAATACTTGTGCAAAACTAGTAATCAAGATGTAAGAATTAGAAACACTGCAAGAAATAATATTTTGTTTTTCCTTCTTTCCAACTAGTGGTATTTTGGGAGAGCTATTTCCAGTGCTGTCAATTTGTTTAGAAGACTAGGGAGTCAGAACTGGGCCAAGACTGTATAGTGTTGGGGGTTTGAGTAAAATCGCAGGCATTTCTCATTTTGCTGTAATCTACTTCCATTTTGAGGTCTGTGATGAGTAAGAGCAATATCTCAAAGGTGTTGAAGGGGCACTTCAGGATTCCTCAAGAGTAATGAATCTTAAGCTAATAAACCACTAGATATTCCTACCTGTTCAAGTGAATTTTTTTTCAGTGGCTATTTGAGCAGTCTGTGGTAATGGTTACAGAAGTATATTTGTGACAAGAACTAGAAAAAGATGACTTCAGAAGCTTTTTCTGAAATAAGCATATATTTGTCAAATTGTATGCCTGTTAAAGTTGAGGGGGGGGAAAATTAACTTAATGTAAAAAAAAAAAAAAAGTGTAGCATCCCTCCAGGAATCAAATTAAATGTGCTTTCAAAGACAAAAAATAACAATGCCAAACAGTTTATGTGTAGTATCAAAGAGATTCCAAAATAGATGGAAGTATATCAAAATAACTGAAAAGGTTTCACAAAAGACATGCCGAAATAGAAATACCACACAACAGATAAATAGTTAGGGAAATTCTTAGCCAGCGGAACAGCAAGACAAAGGTGCTGTAACAGTAGTTTAGAAAAGACAAGATTTAATGAGATGAAGGTATATAAAAATAATAAATGTCTCTGGAAATAATTAAGTCCTGCTGTTCTTCATTTTGAGACTTAGGAGGTTTAGTAATAAAGAAAAAAGCCCAAGAAATTACTGGTTATTCATACAAGATCTAATTAATTCCTTCCTTGATTTTACATCCACAAGCTTACTAAGAATTACGTGTAGCAGATAAGATAAAAATATGTATGAGTTGAAACCTCATGCTTTGGTGTATAAATTATACTGTAGAATTGAGAAATGGCTTCTCTTATTTCCTATTTCATAATGGTTCCTCATAAGAAAGTTTCAGAGTCTGTTTTAAACTTGTCATGCCGGTCACTGTCAGAGACACCACAGTGTGCATGTGCAGCCCTGGTCTCATGAGTCAGTGTACTCTAGTCATCTGTATTTAATGATACGCCGTACATGAAATATGTTCCTGTGTGGTTAGCAGGCATGGTCATATGGTTGTTCTAATTACCTGCATTTTTAACATAATGTTATTAAAATAGAAGTTTATATTCTCTTTTTTGGAAGTAGACACTGCGGTTGGTCTGCTGGTATTGTATCCAGCATTGTGCGCTCTGTGGAAAGTGTGAAGACTTGTTTCTGAGGCAAATATGTTTGGGCTGTGACTGGGCCAGCTCAGTCTGAAAGATGAGAAAGTATTTGTGTTAGCCTCCAACCTTGAGAGGTTGGGAAGAACGGTCTGTGGTGGCCCTCATTATGTTATGTATAAAAGCAGTTAGTAGGATGTGATTTTTGAAAACTGAATCTACTCACACAACCTGCTTACCTTTCACGTAGGGTAAACTGACTTGTAAGGAACTTTAGGTTCCGTGTGAATACTCTGCTTGGTCTGGATAAAAATAATTAGACTTGAAGGGGGAAAAGTTTAACACTTTACTGACAAGATAATGTTTTTTTTCTTCATCAAAAATGAAATTGTCTTTTGAAGACTCTCCACAGTACGTATTTTCAGTACATATTTTCTACTTGGTCTGTGTGGAGATGGTGACTAGTGACACTGGCCAAAAATATTTGTGCTTTCAGTTTTTGCACTTCTGATACAGTTGTATAAATTATTTGTTGCTCTTTAAGTATTGATACATCAATTTGGCCACTGCTAAACTGTTTCTGCTTCCACCCCCCCCCCCCTGCCAGATTTTTTGGAGTAGTTGTTTCAAACCCTTGTTTCTGTGAGTAATTTGGGAATTTCTTTAACATTTTTTTTCCCTTTATATCTGTAGGTTCATTAAGAGCCCCTCCAACATCTGGAGCTCCCCCTCCAGCCTCTGGAGCATCTCTTCCTTCTGGCCACCTGACATACAGTCAGTTTGGACATGGAGATGTGCAGAATGGGATTCCAGCCTCAGCAGCCCCAATGCAGAGGTACATACAAGAAGAGCAAATCATAACAAAGGCCTGCCTTGGTAGACTTGTGCTATGTCTAGACCTTTTAGAATCTAAACCAAACTAAATACTTTGTTTTTCCTGTGGTGGACACTGACTTTATTGCTTCCTTATTGTTCTGGAAGAACATTTTGCTGTAAAGGTATTTGTTAGACAATAAGAATCTCTGGAGAAGAAAAACTTCTGGCAAGATATACTGCATTGGATTGCTGATATACTGTCTACTGGAGAGAGTCCAGCGGAGGGCAACAAAGATGATTAGGGGACTGGAGCCTGTCTTTTATGAGGAAAGGCTGAGGGAACTGTGTCTGTTCACCCTGGAGAAGAGAAGACTGAGAGGAGATCTTATCAATGCTTATAAATACATTAAGGGTGAATGTCAAGAGGATGAGGCCAGACTCTTTTCAGTGATGCCCAGCAGCAGGTTAAGGGGCAACAGGCACAAACTGAAACTCAGGAAGCTTCATCAGAATATGAGGAAGAACTTCTATACTTTGAGGATGACAGAGCACTGGAACAGGCTGACCAGAGAGGTTGTGGAGTCTCCTTCTCTGGAGATACTCAAAACCCACCTGGGCACGATCCTGTGCAACCTGCTGTAGGTGAACTTGATTTGACAGGGGGGTTGGACTGGATGATCTCCAGAGGTCCCTTCTAACCCTGGCCATTCTGTGATATGAGCAGATGTCAGTGTCTGACCAAAACCACTTCTCCTCCAAAGACTTTCTTTGTGGTAGTCATTTTCCCATAAGACATTTTCTGATTCCCATAATCTGTCTTGTTTTAAAACAATTGCATCCACACAGCTGCAGTGTTTGATTCCTTGGCAGTGTGAATTGATCTCTGTCTGGAGCATGTTGTTGTCTGTCATTACTGAACAATTCCTTAGTATTGGTTCTGCATCCTTTTCTGTCTGGTATGGATCCCTGAGTTATCTCCATCTAAAGCTCTTGAGCATCTTCTCCAGAAAGATATTGCCATTACCTCTGTGGTGAAAGTGGCAACAGTCCTACTGCTTCATTCCAATTACTGGTTATGGGGAAAGGTGGTGGGTTTTTGTTTCCTTCCGGTTAAGCTCAGCACTGTCAGCTGGAGACTCCAAATCCTTTGAGCAACAGAACATTCTTACATAGCTGTGCAGGCCGTACTGTTTCTCACTCTGTAGGCTCTGTTGCAGTATTTCCAATTTGTTGTGATAACTAAAATGCTGTAAACATAGAATTTGTATTTTAAGAACTAATAGATTATTTTTTTATGAAAGGGATTCAGATTCCTGCAGGATATGTAATTATTTTTCTGAAACTGAGCTATAGTGCTTCAAGTAAATAATTGAGACCCAGCTAGCGTTTATGTGGTAGAACGATTTTAAAAGGTACAGAGAATTGTAGCTGTTTGTATAATTGGGAATTCAGTGAAGTTTCTCATCTGTCTTCTCAGGCCACCTGCTTCTCAGCCGTTTCTGCCAGGCTCAGCACCCACGCCTGTCAGCCAGACATCTACGTTCCAGCAATACGGTCCTCCCCCAGCCAGTGTACAGCAGCTCAGCAATCACATGGCAGGGATGACAATTGGCAGTACTACAGCCTCTGCTTCTTCCCCAGCTGGACTGGGCTATGGTGAGGTTTCCTGGCTACAGAAATATGCTATTGCTTTTCATTTATGCTAGTAATTGCATAAAAGATTTGTTCTTGTCAATAATTCATTACCATATGGTGATGAGAATTCTCTGGGTGTTGACATTTGCCATAGTAAACAGTAGTTTCATTGACTAATAAGATCATAATTGGGGAAAACAGAACTGAGGCTATTGTAGGGGACAGTGCAGGAAGTACTGCAGGACATGAGTAACAAAAGAGAGTAACAATATTTCACCTCAACTAGGTGAATCTTGGTGTGAAACACAAAACCAATCCATCCCTAAGTAAGCTGTTGGAGAGTAAGCATGCCTTGCCACTGTTGTGCAGCAGCCCAGTCAAAAAAAAAAAGAATGAAAAAGGGCTGAGTAAATCACAAAGGACTGAAATTACTTTGAATGATTCTGTGAAGGGTTTTGCTGGAAGTTGAGAAGAAACTTATTTAAACAGTATGAACTGAACTTTACATCTTTTGTTCTATTGTATTAGATCTGTAGTCTCACTGCTGTAGATTACAGGACTTTTTTTTTTTTTAATTGAAGACTAGAGATTTGCCTTTAGTGTGTGTAAGCTGGTGTGACTACGCTTTGGTTTTATTTAAAATTGTTTTGGTAAAGTACTTTTTGACAAGCACGTCTCACACTCTAACATAGACTTTACAGGAAAATTAGGAGTGGGGGATGCAGATTTCTCCAGCTTTTTGGCAATGTGTTTGTCTACAATTATCCTCAGAAATAGTACAGTGTTAAATACAGAAGATGGTAGTTCCATGCTATTAAAACCATGAAGCTCACAACCATTCTTGAACTACAGGCTCCAACTTAGTGTGGAGTTTAAGATACAAATTTATTTCAATTCAAGAAATCGGTAGACAGACTTGTGATGTTTCTTGTTTTGCATACTCCTGGCTTTGCCCCTTTTTTTGGCCCTGAATCCTGAAATGTATTCTGATTATGTAAATAAGAAGCTCATACTTTGAGAGAGAGGACGATGAAGGAACTATTAAGTTTCAGGTCTCTTGGAGGAGTTTCAGCTCTCTGATCAATTTAGGAGGATGTTCACTTAAAATTTGTCTCTATTAGTACTGGCAAGTCCATCTGAAGAGGAGAAAGTGGTAGACCTATTTAGATGATCTAGAGCAAATGGGTTTTGCTTGCATCTTAGTTGTCTTGAGGATAGAAGAAAATGATGTTGTATCTTTTTTTCTTCTTATCAGGTCCCCCAACATCGGTTCCCCCAGTCTCAGGAAGCTTTAGTGCAACAGGATCTGGTCTCTACACATCTTACACTGCGAGCCAAGGACCCCCTCCTACCAGTGTGTCTCAGGGTCTTCCTTTGGCACAGCCTCCGTTTCCTGGTCAGCCAATATCAACTCAGCGCCTACCTACTCAAGTCCCTGGTTTTGCCCCACCTCCCTCTTCTACAGGGATTGGACCTTCCTCTTACCCTCCTACCACAGGGGCCCCAAGGCCACCTACAATGCCAGGCCCACCATTGCCTGGGCAGACAGTTGCTGCACCACCAATGTCCCAGCCTAATCATGTATCCTCACCACCACCTCCATCAACTATGTCAGGGCTGCACTCTGGGCCTCCCATAAGTGGCCTCCATGGACCACCTCCTCCCACTCATCCTCCTCAGCCAGGATACCAAATGCAGCAGAACGGTGCGTATTCCTAGTATAGGAATTGTAAGTTACATGTGTTCCCTGTGTGCTGCAAACTGAGAGCTGGATTTCAGGTTTGTTACTTGTGGGCTCCTGTTTGCACTTCAGAGCTTCCCACTTGTTTCCCTGTGCTCAAGTCTGGAGGACAAATGCAAGATAAACAATATCATGTGTCAATCTAAGATATTTGTCATACAGATTTTAATCGGATTAATGTAACTAAAGGAATCCTAGCTTACCTACCAAAAAGTTGTTTAGTAATTAGTTCCATAATACTACAAGAATTTGTGATCAAAATTTTATTATGAACTTTAATTTGATGTCTGCAACCTCATCTGTTCAAAAGTAGAGATTTGAAATCCTGAAAAGCCTTATTATCTGTTTCAAAAAATTTGTGGCCAGTGCGCATATACATTGTGTATGAGAGGAGTTCTTAAATGTTGAAAAGGAGTTGCTACTTTTTCTTCAATTTACAAAACTGTGTGTTTTTCTCCTTGTACAACCTTTCACATTTTATGTGTGCTTAGAAGTAATATCAGTTAAGCTTTCTGAATTTTAAGCAGTTTTGGGTGATTTTTTTTAATCGATAACATTTACAGATAGCTAGGATAAAGTAATCATGTGCAAGTGTCAGGATTGAGAATTCCCGTCTCCCATGCAGCTTTGCACAACTGGCCAGGTAAATTACTTTAAAATATCTGTCCAAATTGCTATGAACTGTGGAAACACTAACAGGGTAAATCATGCTGTTATTCCACAACTGACAGAAATTGTCTAAAGTAATATGAGATAACTTCAGGTAGTTACAAAACAAAAGATATAATCACACATTAACCTATAACTGCAATTTCAGACAAGCCAAAACTGCCCAAGAGAACTTCTTGCATAGCTTTATTTTGAGGAATTGCGGGTCATCTGCTAACTTGGCTGTTCTGTGTGCGCTTTCTATTAGGCAGTTCTGCAGTTTAACTTAAATATTCATAGTACAGGATCTTAATGCTTATTGTAGTCATATTATTCTAAAAATAGTTATTTTAGTCTAAAACTCCATGTTTCTTTAAGTCTGGTTTTAAGGATCATTGATAGAGATGTACAGGCCTAAGCTGAAATACTGTGATAAATATGTGTAATCCTAATTAACTGAAACGCATGTGGCTTTTTTTTTTGATGATGACATGGGAAGTGCCTAATGAGGAAACGCCTAGTATTAGCCATTGTTTGATTTTTACTGTCCCTTTCTTGTAAGGTTCCTTTGGACAGGTGAGGGGTCCCCAACCAAACTATGGAGGAGCCTATCCAGGAACACCAAATTATGGAAGTCAACCCGGACCACCACCTCCACCAAAACGCTTGGATCCAGATTCCATTCCTAGCCCTGTAAGCTTACTTTGTTCTTACCAGTGTGAACTCTTCCATAGCATCTTTACATAAAACAGAACTGACAAAGACCAAAGCTGAAAACAGGTTTCTCATTCCAAAGAACATCAGTGTGTTTTCCTGCTTACTTTTGTCTCATATATCTGGCTTCAGTCTTTTGTTATGAATAAGCCCAGAAGCAGTGTTTTTCTTGGCGACTAAGGAAAGGCACTGTGTATGCAAATCAATGCTCTTAATTCCTCAGGTCTTTTTCTGTACTATGTTACGTTTTGAGAATCCTTCAGGGCTTTGATTAAGGTTGTTTCTCCACTTCTGGATTCTTGCTTAATGACTTTCCAAGGTGAACCGATTTCAAATTTTGATGCATGTTTATAGTGTGGTTAACAGGAGATGATTGTAGTGCTTTTCCTTTCCTTTTTTCTATAATCTGTCAAAAAGCTGGTTAGCGGTTTTTTGGGTCATTAAGTCATGACATTACTTCAGTCAAATATGGACAACTTCTCAAATTGAGATTATCTTTCTGAATGCAGGTTCTGAGAAAGGACAGGCAGTGGTATGTAATGGTTAGCAATGTTGGGTAATATTAAGCCTGGCAGTGTTATTGCCACTAGTCTGCTGTGCTGTTCCTTCCACTGATGCTGTTCTGTTATTGTTTCAGAAGACAATAGTTGTTTGATAACAGGAAGCCTTTCCAGGGCAGTGCTTAAAATCAGCTTACTTGAAGACTATAAACATAATTTAGTGTTGAGTTACATCTTGGATCTGGACTGGTGCTGTTCAGAAGTTACTGCTATTCAAAAAAGATCTGTTTAAACTCCAGGTTTATGACTGTATTATTTTAATTTTTTTTAGAATATAAGGAGTCTTTAATTGCTTATCTGCTTCTCTTCTCTTCCACTAAATGAAATCTCAAATGGCTTGTGTCAGTTGCCTTCATTTTAGCATGTTCTTTAAGCATAAATCCTGAATTTCTAACCAAAATGGGCACGTGAGCCACTACCTCTGTTATCGATGTGTTCAGAGCCCAAGCCCAATATCCTGGGAAGGCTGAATTTGGGATCGGTGTATGCTGCAGAAGCTGGTGTTTCCTGTTGCATGAACCAATGTCCAAATGTATCTACTTCCAGTGCTACAGGTTTGGGTAGAGAGAAGTAACACTGTTACTTTTTGGTTTATTATTCTCTTTTCTTTTTTCTTTTTCTGTGGCACTCTTTATTTTTTTAAAAAAGCAACTTAATGAGCTGCCACCCCAGCAGAAACCCAGGCACAGAATAGACCCAGATGCAATTCCTAGTCCAGTAAGTGCTGTATATATGTCAATTGTAGTCTATGTGTTGGTGACCATCTGTGCATGCCTGAAACCTGAACTTGACCTCACTAACCCTCCATCATTAATCCTTTACCCTTTCCTTGCTGTGTTCTGCTTGCCTTATCAAAATGAGTAACACTACACCAGAAGAGGTTGTTAAAATCTTCTCTTCTGCAATGAATGGTGAGGCAATAGAAAGCAGACTATTTCAGAAACAGATCATGAAGAATGTCTCCCCTTCACTTTGCCTGATCTTAGAATATCTCCTTCATCAGATTCCAACTGACATTTTCAGTGTAAACCATCAGTATAATTGTCCGTACAGTGTATGTCTTCTGTTAACATACACACAGCATGAGCCCTTGTAGCCATGTTTTCTGCCAGTTTTGAGCAGAATTTGATTACTGTTGTGGTTGATATACCAGTAGTGGGCTAATGCTTTGAAGTTCTAAAATTGCAGATGAACTCTTTTGTTTTGATGTTAATTCCTGATATAAATCTTCTAGAAGATTAATATGAGGCACGGGGAGCTATAAACATTCTCTCATTATCTGTGCTCATACATAACCATTAAATTTAGAATTTGAGAATTTAATGTTTATGTGTAGAGAATGTTACCTAAAGAAAGAAAAAAGCAGCTACCTTTTGGATGGGAAGCAAAAACTACGTTTGACTTTGTTACCCTTGTATCACTTCTTCCTTGTTTAGCCAACGTCGGTCATATAACAGATACTAGCGGTGAGATCACCAATGTCAGTCAGTCTGTAGACTTTTGAAAAGGGACTAGATTTATCCTAGAGAAGTCAGTGATGCTATGGGAGGCTTTCTGCTGGCAACTTGGAATCCTTAGTGAGAGGGTAGAAGTTCTGCTGTGCAAACTTCTGCATTTCAGAGTTTACTCTAAGCAAAGGCATGTGTGTTTGGTGGCAAAATAATGTCAGAAGAATGATTGCTAGCTTTAATGCTTTCATTTAGGCACCAGTATGGAAATGTAGTTAAAACTGTATAACTCCAATTTTCTGTTCTTATGCAAAGGTCAGTGGATATTTTAGTCAAGTAAAACTGTTTAATGCGTTTCCATTATCTTAAGTATATTTGCATTAATGAAGAATTTGAAATCCTAAGAAATTTAAGATTTTTACTGGCTTTGGAGTTTTAGCTTGATTCATTGACGGGTCTAGTGAAACTTCATTTTCCACGTCCCCAGAATTCAAATCACAAACTCTTGAGCACCACGGTGTAATGAAGACTTCTACCTGAGCTTGCAAGCATATGTCTTTAGTTTGGAGTTACAGTGCTTAGAAATAAATGCATACTATGAAAACAGTGGGAACATGACAGAAAGGAAAAGCCAGGTTATCTATAGAATTTCAGCCTGAGGCTTACAGAAGCTTCTAATTTTAATTTGTCTAGGACCAGCATACAGGGGAGTACTACCAAAATTCCTTTATTGATCTGTGTTTGACTTTTATGAGTTCAGATCAGGCCTTAAAATGCAAAATACTTGGGGAAAAATACTATTTGCAACTTGTAATTTCTTGTTAGTCATTAAGTACTATTTGAAATCAAACTGAGAGGTGACTGCTTGACAAAACTTGGTTTAGACTTCTTGGTTTTAGAGATGGTAATGTTTACCTCAGGTCGCCTTTTCACTGCCTTACAGATACAAATTTTGTATTTTACAGTATTTAACATTTGGAGGCTTGGTTTCAATGTGGTGTTTTCCATCATAGATTCAAGTGATTGAAGATGACAGAAGTAACCGTGGGTCAGAACCATTTGTCACTGGAGTGAGAGGGCAGGTCCCACCTCTTGTTACTACGAATTTCTTGGTCAAGGATCAAGGTAAGATATCTTTCTTTTCCTAAACAAGCCCCAAAGAGTCAGTAACAGAACTGTTTATGTCTTTAAAGGAAAAGTTTGAGGAATTATTTCAGTGGCTAGGGAGCCAACAGAAGCTTAAAGTTCTGTGTTGATTTGGTCTCAATTTAGAGTCTTCTGATTGTTTGGTAGCTAGTAACCAATTCGCAAGTAAAAAATGTTTTCGGAGGCAGGTAGCTGGGACCGGCATTAGCAGGGATATCGGAAAGCAGCAAATGAAGCCTCTTCTGTAGAGCTATATCAACAACAGTTAAGAACTAAAATTTACTAGCAATATCATTTGAATTGGACTGGGAACTGTATTTTTTTATATCAAGTGGGTTATCAATTGGTCCATGGGCTTCATAGAGAAAATGTATTTCATCTTCTAATTTCCCACGCTTCTTTTGAGATTTAAAGCTCCCATATAACTTCAGAATCTGATTCTACAATCAAGTGCTTTACTCTTCAGCCAAAATTACAAAATCAAAGAGTAGAAATGTTTGAGTTGAGTTTTCTGCCTATAGTATGTTTTAGTCTGCAAAAAGAGTAAAAAAAATTTTTAGAGGTTTAAGTTGATGTGAAGTCAAGTTCGTTTTGAGTTAAGGGCTTTTATTATATGTAGTTAATCATAAAGAGGCATTTTTTTTGGAATTCACGTTTTGCATAGATTGAAACTAATTGATTGTTTAGATAAGCTCTTGGTCTCTATGGCTTAACAACGCAACTGAAGGTATCTTTGTTTCTGTTCTTGAATATAAAGTTAGCTCGTACTGAAATTTGTGGGGATTTTTATTTTGTTCCTCAGGTAACGCAAGCCCCCGCTACATAAGATGCACGTCTTACAATATTCCCTGCACCTCAGATATGGCCAAACAGTCCCAAGTTCCTCTAGCTGCTGTCATAAAACCGCTGGCTACTCTACCCCAAGAGGAGGTGAGAACTGTATGCAGAGCTACATATGCACTGTATGCACTCAGAACTTGTTAGGAGAATGCTTTTAGATGTCAACATTTAACAGATAAATTGAGAAGAAATGTTTAGGTAATGAAGACTAAGTAAACATTGATTCTCCCACAAGGGTGTGTTAGAGATCTGTAAGGCAGAAGAATGTTGTGTTCAAAACATTTAACATTTTGATTGCCTTGATAATTTCAACTTTTTTACAGTAACTGTTAAGCACTATGACCAAGTGACTAAAATACTAGGATGGTCACAAACGCATACACTTCTGGTTGATCTCAATTTCTTTCTTGGCCTAAAGTATTTAAATGGCTACTAATCACTGATGTTAAGTCTCTTCTAGGATGTCAGTTGTGGAATTGGATGAGACTGTATGAAGCAGCACTGGTTCAGTTGTCTAATGTCCATGTACATGCACAGCACTGCGTGGGTTAATAGCACAAGACTGAGTACTGGGCACTGCTGAGCTGCACTTCTATTTCTGCCCTTGCTCTGTGCAGCACTAATTTCCTTCTAGGTGTAATGTGTGCCTAGCTAGCCTTTTACCCACTCTGGTTGCTGAGAACATGAAAGCTTTGAGAATATTAGAGCTAGAAATTTTATAAAATATTCTAAATACTCTGGCTACTGTGTAGTGTTAGCCTGCTTGGAGCAGTGACGTAAAGACAAATATGCTTGTTATATTTGAATACATATGTTTGCATTATTCTGTGCCCTGTTAAACTTAACTTTAGCATCTGCTGAGGAAAGGAATATCCTCTAGGCTTTTACGGGTTTGTTTTTCCTGCTACATTTCATTACTTTTCCTAAGCTATGGTTTGAATTTTGAAAACTGGTTTGTAATAAAACTGAGTTATGAAGTTGATTCCTGCATTGCTGTATTGTGGCTGGAGTGTAAAAGGAGTGCAATGGGAGAATGAGAAACCTGGAGACTTATGGAGCTGCACATTTTTAGAGAAGCTTTACAAACAACTAGATGTTAGGTCTCCTGATGTGTTTGTGCTTTGAACAAACACTTGTGATATCCAGAAGAAACAAGGCTAGGAATAGGAAGATTGCCCTGGAGACTGGTCAGCTTCTAGCATTGGGAAGTTCTTTATGGCAAGGGAAAACTCTCTCTGGAGGGACCCTTCCAACAGATGAAGACTCAGCTATTTGGAGCAAGAGGACTGTAAATAGAGCTGAAGCTTAACATATCAGTAGTGAGAAGGTAAATGTCATGAAAATACAACATTGAGATAAATCTAGAATATATAAAAATTCAGCACCTGGTTGCCAGATACAGGACCTTTGCCCTATGTTAATGCACAGTTCAGAAAGCAAAGCTTGAGGCTTCAGAAAGAAGTATCTCTGTGCCTTCTGGGAGTTAAGTGGTTAGTGACAAGTTATGCATAGCACTGCATGTTTACAGCACCCTTGTAGTTTGTTTGCATGCATGTTACTGGGGGAGAGACAGGAAAAAAGCTTATTGTGTGGAAGTACAATATCAACATTGCCTGGCAGTCAGAAAACTTGAAATTTTGTTTCCTCTGAGGAGGTCAGCCTGGGTGACAGGAGCTGAGAAATGCTGGCTGCAAAACCATTGTATTGTCAGTAAATGATTAGTGGGGTTGAATGAGAGATGTAATGCATCTGTGGCATGAAGAGGAAGAAGGTGACTCGAGCAAATGCTCAACCTCTGCTCAATGAGTATGTTGTTTCTTAAACATGATCAGAGGTTTAGGGTGACTGAGAGAATTAAGACTGGACAGCTTTAGTGTCAGAAAAATTAGAAGTAGTTGAACTTTCTTTTGAGCTAGATTCTTAGTTATGAAAGGTGCTTTGAATTATGAATGCAGCTTGTAGCTTGCATGAGTTCTGTCTGAATACTTTTAAAGTGCTTCCTGCTCGTTCTGAGGTTGGAAAGCTTCAGAAGTTGCTGAGCATCATATTCTGGTTTGGCTGCAAAAAGAATATATTATCAGTAATAGTTCAAAAACGGTATCACTACGTAACACTTTTGAGGACTTGCTATACAATGGGGTCAAGACAAGCAGAACTCACAGATATAATGTATTTCATGGTGGACTTCAAAAATAAGTCTTATCAACTGAAATTTTTAAAGATAGTCTGGATGCTCTATGTTCTTGAATATATGGAATGCAATGACTAGTTTCTATTTTGTCAAAAAGCCTGCTTTTTACAAGGGAAAAATATTAGAGGTGATGAGTTGCTTTTAAAACACCCAACCTGTGGTGAAACATAAATTGTATGCTCACTCCCATGAGGTTATCACAACTGTTCTTTGCATGGCTTCAGTCTTTTGTATTCATTTGGGATACATCTGTGCTGTGTGGTGTGGTACCCCTGCTAGAGCTCATGCTCCTCAAGCAGGCTACTACATAAGGTAGTGCAGCACCATGCAGAATTACTTGTTTCTGTCTAAGTGGGATAGCCCATTAATGACTGCAACCCACAAAGAATGACTGTGCTAGAGCTTGAGTTGAAAAGCATTTACGAAACAACGTGTTCAGGCTTCCCCCACCCCCTGCACTCTCTCCCACAGCTGCCAAAATGCCAAATCCTGTGCAACATGCAGGGCGATAGTTTTAAGCGCTGCACTATGTGTGGCCACTTCTTTCTCATCATCATGTGACCTTTCTCTTCATTTTTTTTTTTTCTTCCCTACTTCCACAGGCCCTTCCTTATTTGGTAGACCATGGAGAATCTGGTCCTGTCCGATGTAATAGGTGCAAGGCTTACATGTGCCCTTTTATGCAATTCATCGAGGGTGGAAGGAGGTTCCAGTGTTGTTTCTGCAGCTGTGTCACTGAGGGTAAGGTTTCTTCTGGAAATCAGTCTCTAGGCTGTATTGGAGTCATCTTTGAGCAAGATGCAAACAAATAAATCTTTATCGTGTTATGATAATTTATAATGTATACCATGCTTTAATATGTGTTTAGTCTTGTAAAAAAATTCATTATAAAACACATTCAGTGCTCAGTTCTGAAATGATGTTCAAATTAAGTAGGTGCCTATGCATTGCAGTATTATTGTACCAAATTTTTAACATGAGGTACTTGTAGCATAATGTATGGTGGTTTGAAAAATTATTTATGCTATTTTCTTAGGGTATTTCAAACATATTTTTCTGTGATGCTGAGATGTACGTCTAGTCAGTAGCATGAGTTAGGATTTTTTTTGTTGTGCTCACAAAGCCTGTTTAAACACTGCTTAGGGATGAGATTGCAGCTAAATCTGCTACAGCTGAATAGGAGTGTTCAGTATATGCCAGTTAATCTTAGTTGCTCTTCTAAATAAATATAAAACATGCTTCCTTTTAAGCAGAAGTCACTATGTGCTCATAGCATGACATCCATAAATTTGTTTTGAAGGCACAGTGGAATGTAAGGTACAACAAACCTTATGGTGATGTTTTGAGTGTTTCATTTCATCGCATTGGTGACTTTAGTTGGACTGTTTGTCCTTATCAGGTCAGTTATGCTGTACAACTGTTTGTACAAACCAAAATGGGAAGCTGACAGGAGTTAGAAGTGGCCAACTTTAAAAAACTGTTTTGTCTGGTGATTTTCAGCCTATGTGCATTTCCTGTCCCTGCTTGCTCAACAGCTGTATGAATGGCTGTACTTGTAACAACTGTAGTTTGCCTCAAACTCTATTGTAAGCCATTCATTACTACCTGTACAAAATTGTTATATTTTCCCTTTGGACTTAAATCCTTCAGAAGAATCCTAAGAGCGTGTTGTAGTGACATTTCTGATATGAGATATAAAATGAGAATGTAAAGGAGGTTCAAGAAAAGTACAATAGTGACTGTACAGTGTGCCACCCGGCGCATAAGACAAACTGGAAGCAGTTTGTATTTATTGGCTTTAATGATGCTCTTAAATTGCATTAATATTTTTAGTAATACGTGCATGCTATCACAGAGTGCTAGCTGGCTTTTGTGGAGTTTTGTTTGAAACAGCTGTTGTCACATTAGCTCTCTAGTCACAGTGTTTATCGTGGGCATGTCACTGAACTTAATAATTTTTCCTTTCCCAGTGCCACCTCACTACTTCCAGCATTTGGATCATACTGGAAAGCGGGTAGATTTCTATGACCGACCTGAGTTATCACTGGGGTCTTACGAGTTTCTAGCAACAGTTGACTATTGTAAGGTACAGTAGTATGTGTTGATTACTGTATTTTGCTTTACTTTTAAATAAAAAGCCTATTTTCCTAAAAGTAAGAATGATGTGAATTGTCTGGGGCTGCTTTCTAGCCGGCAGAGATAATTAACAGCACTAATCCAACCCACTTCATTGTGTAAAATAACGTGCTTGTCTGCTTACTTCCCAAAGCAGAGGAAGTCTTGATCACACATGACATAATTTTATTATAGCTGCCTCTGTCGTTCTCTTCTGGAGCTATATAAGCAGCTATAGCTGCTGTTACCTTAGCAATTCTGCAGGAAGGACTCTCTTGCACTAGTCCTTGGGGCAGAAAGAGAATGTAGGAGAGATTCAAGAAAAGTACAATGATAACTATGCAATGTGCCACCTGTTGCCTAAGACAGACTTTACCTATCGAACTTAAATTTCAAATACAGCCATAGTGGTTAAAAACAGAAGAACAGTGTAGAAATATATATTGTCAGAGCTGGTTCACTTTTAAATTAAAGATTTAAATAATAATTAATTTCTAAGGAACAGGAAAAATATGTGCAAAGTGTTTATTAAAGCAACTTATGTCTCTGCTGAAATAAATGCTGGGAAAATAGATGTCTAAATGTTGCAGCTTTATACTGGTTACCTTCTGATGCCTCAGCTTTACTTCAAGTTAAGGGAAAAAACAATTATCTTCTAACAATGTAAGAAGCATTTTTAATTCAAATGAGATGTGATCTTCCTAGCTTTTTTGAAAGTTCTTCTGGTTTACTTTTGTTCTGTGTGCTCCTCCCAATATGACCTGTAGACTTCAGAAAACTGTTGACTGAAACAAGTTTTTCTTTTCCCAAAGCAAACCTGATATTTCAGTAGAAGGGAAAGGTTGCAGTTCTCACAGAAAAAAATCTTTTTCTTTATATTGATGAAGTCGCCTATAACAAGTCTGGTCAGATTCCAAAGTCTTGAGAACTGGCAGGAAACTTCCCTGTCTACTTACCCTATCTGGCCTAGTCACATAAATGGACGATTTAGTTATAACTAGCCTGTTCTTCACTGAGCAATGGTGAAATCAGTCTAGGCTGTGTAATGCCAGTCCATTTCAAGCACAGTGTGGTTATGTGTCTGTCAGCTGGGCATGGATGGGAGAATGATCTGAAGAAACTACTGCTCATGAGTAGAAAAGTACATGAAAGCTATTAGAGTTTTGACCAGCATTCATGTTTCTGTGTTACAAAGCTGTTATGTGGGCTGCATTACATGGCCATAATGTGACTTCTTCCCTCTCTTCCACAGAATAACAAGTTTCCCAGTCCACCTGCTTTCATTTTCATGATTGATGTGTCTTACAATGCTGTGAAGAGTGGTTTAGTGAGGCTAATATGTGAAGAATTAAAATCACTCCTAGACTACCTGCCCAGGTAGGTATATTGTTTACTACTGTAGCCAGTCAAAATGGGGGAAACTATCACTTTTTTCCTTTTAAAAAATGCTAGAAATTAAAAAATTATTTGATAATACTATCAGGCTTTTCTGCAGAAAAACACCAAGCAGAACATCTTTCTGGATACCTTTCTACATGAAAATAAATATTCCTACCTTTCACTTTTCCCTTATCTCTTATTGTGTTGGCTGCTGTGTAATGATTTCACTGTATACTTAGATGTGAAGGCAAATATGTCTCTTACAGGGAAGGCAACATGGAAGAGTCAGCCATTCGAGTGGGTTTTGTCACCTACAACAAAGTGTTACACTTCTATAACGTGAAGAGTTCACTTGCACAGCCACAAATGATGGTTGTCTCAGATGTGGCAGATATGTTTGTGCCACTCCTTGATGGTTTTCTGGTGAATGTGAATGAGTCCAGGACAGTTATTGCCAGGTAACAGAAATTGATTTACAATGTGTGTAGTATGCCTCTTGTTTGGCAGATTAAAGTCTTGCATGCCTATTTGTCATGTTATTCATCTAGAAGTCACTCCATGTATTTTAACTTCCTATATTCTTTGAGATTAAGCTGACAAAGCAGGATGGGAAAATTCTTGGGGTAAGAGTGTGTTTGGCTCACACTGCAGCTTGGCAAAATGTATATATAAGGGGATTTAGTGCAGAAGGGCATTTCTTGGAAAAAACACAAAACAACTAGAATGATGCAGGGTGAAAGTTGTAAGAGTACTGAATCACTGTCTTTAATGCAACTGCCTAAATAACTGTAAACTGAGACAACTGTGGTAACTAATTTTGGTTCTGTGGAGAAAATTGAACGAGTGGGGTAAAGAAGATAAAATCTAGAAGGAAAGAAAGATAAATTAGCAAAGTTTTGGCAACTATTTAACATGATACTTGAACAGTAATTAAACAATGATGTGTAGCTAACTACATTTTTGGGAACTAGACCTGGCACTGCAGTTTTTTGTAGTGCGTTAACAAGCATAAATAGAAAACTGTGGATTAAACCTATTAATCCTTGAATAGTACACAGGATGCCTGGCAAACAGAGGCCAAGTGTCACTGGTCTTTCCTAAGAGTTTACTTGCCAATATATATTGGAATATACTAGAAGAGCAGGAATACAGAAGATCTGTTGGAATAGGCATCAGTTGAGGTTATACAGCAAGCACTGAGGATATGGATGAGAGAAGCTAATAAAGAATGAAAAGGCATCCTTTTTTTTCACAGATAAATGATGAGATGCCAAATACTGTAAAAATTATGCAAATTTACAGACGTGTTAAGGACTGCTGTTTAAACCACCTCAGTCTCATAGGTCATCAAGTGCAACTGTGTGTCTTTTCCAATTAAATGGAATCTTGAATTCCTTCTTTTTCTTATTCTTTGCTAGCTTGCTGGATCAGATTCCAGAAATGTTTGCAGACACAAGAGAAACAGAAACTGTTTTTGCACCTGTGATTCAAGCAGGGCTGGAGGCGCTGAAGGTTAGTAAATGCATTGTCATGGCAAATTGTTTTCAGTCTGAGTACTCTGAAGTTCATATGCTGTTAACGCACACTAAGACAATTCTAAAGCTTTTCATAAATCTCCTTGTGGTAGATGCGCTACATGTAGGGAGTACTTGGCTCATTCTTCAAGACCATGTACCTCCAGTTCTATGTAGCTAGTTATCTGTTCTCTGCCCAATTTTTTTTTCAATAATTTTTGCTCAAAAGTACGAGACCTGTGGCTTACTCTAAGTTACCTGGCTGGGTTCTACTTTGAACAGTTTACAAAACCTGACAAAAAAAAAAAAAGACCCTCCAACATTCCAACATTGAAACCAAGTGGCGAAGTCTGTCATGTCTCATTGAGGAGTTCTGTAATATGGTGTCTTTCTAACCCTGTGCTTGAAGCTCTGGAATAATTTTAAATAAAAGGAGAGGATGCAATCTGTTGAAGCTGCCTGCAACAATGTGCTAACCAAGTAAACCTTTCCTAAAGTTCTTCCATTCCAGTACTTCATCCGGATAATTACATGCATCATCTAACTCCAACTTGTATATACTGATCAAACTGATTGCCTGTATGATTCCATCCAAAACTGTTCATATAGCTCTATCTGTCTGTCATGTAAGTCCATAGAAGTCTCTCTTAAACTCAGTTTTCATGACAATTGTTCATTCGAGAAATAATATAAATTACTAATGGATTGTTTACATACTGCATGTGTCAGAGAAAATAACCTACTAAATATTGACTACTGTTGGTTAGTGAATAGGTTATTCATGTAAAATTAATTATCTGATGAAGCTCAGGTTACAAAATCTTTTGCCATTTCTGTGGCTCTTCTCCTTCTCCATAAACTCAGTAGCTGCGAATTAGAGAAGGAGGCAATCTAACATGTTTGTGCAAAATGTTTTGTAGCTGAGTCCTGCTTATTGCTCTGTGTCTCCTTGGAGCCAGTCCTTTTCTCCCTGCCATGGAACTAGCACAGGTCCAGGAGAACTGAAACTTGCTTTTCTGTAACTGACCAGTAAGCTGCACTCCCTGTGTTGGATACCACTGAAGTAACCAAGTGATCACTGAGCCTGTGTGTCTGATAGAGAGCCTTCTTGACATAAAGAAGTGAAGTAATGAGGATCCTTGAATGCTTGTTCTTGAATCACAGTTTCCCTTACAATTTTTATAAATGTTTCTAACCTGCATTATTACACTTGCTTTCCTGCAGGCAGCTGAGTGTGCTGGCAAGCTCTTCATTTTCCACACTTCTCTGCCCATTGCAGAGGCCCCGGGGAAGCTGAAGAACAGGGATGATAAGAAACTAATCAACACAGATAAGGAGAAGGTAATAATGACTGGCATGATGCTTACATAACAAGTCTGGTTTATACTTTTTATGGGATAAAATAACTCTAAAGCAATGTTTTAAAAAAATTGCAAGGGTAACACGTAATGTAACCATCCCAGCTAATATCTTTTAACATTGTGCTTTTATCTTCTGTTCTCAAGCAGAGCTGTGTAGATTTGACATCATAAGGACAGCTGTGGTATGAGAACAAGAAGAGAGAGATCTAGATTCTTATACAGGATGAAATACCATAGCAGGGTGAAAGTGTATTGACTGGTATTATAAACTGGATCTCACTTCCCTCTGCCTACCGCAGACTTCTGATCTCATCTCTGACTTCCTTTTGTAGACTTTGTTTCAACCACAGACAAGCTTTTACAACAACTTGGCCAAGGACTGTGTGGCCCAGGGCTGCTGTGTGGATCTATTCCTGTTTCCAAACCAGTATTTGGATGTGGCGACACTAGGTGTAGTAACTTACCAGACAGGAGGCTCCATTTACAAGTATGCATATTTCCAGGTAAAAGTGACATTGACTCAGACTGCTATTTGATCTAAATAAGAATTATTGTTTAATTAAGAGTTCTTTTTCATAGTGTGAACCACAGTGAACGAATACTTCTTTGGAAATAAATTGCTACTTAAATTTCAAGATTTTCACCAAAATTATTTTATTAGCTTTACGCCTTTACACAAAATATCTCTATTAATAACAAGAAAAGCTATGCTGTTACCTTTTAGCACAATATTTTATTAGCAGGGCACTGAGCCCTGCATGATGGCTGATTTTTAGAGTAAGACTGCAGGAGATAGTCTCTTTTTTTAAATTACTTTATGGTTTATGGAGCAGCTCTGATTTATGGAGTATGAAATTTGAATTATTGCTTGTGTTCTAGCTGGAGGCAGACCAGGATAGGTTCCTGAATGACTTGAGAAGAGATGTCCAGAAAGAAGTGGGTTTTGATGCTGTAATGAGAGTGCGCACAAGCACAGGTGGGTGTTAGCATGAATGAGTCTTAATAAATGGATCACTTGAAGTATGTCATATGGGAAGTAACAGATTTTTTTCCCTAATTTAAAACATCTTGAGACTAGGCTATGCAAAAAGCTTTGCTAAAGCTTTGGAAGTCATAAGACTTTTGTCGAGACTGAGCTGCTGAAATCTGTCAAGATAACTTAGTATCACCGATGACAGGATTTTCAGGATTCTAAAGGCTGGCTGTCTTGTTATTCTGTAAAAAATTGTGGTTTATGTTGGGGTTTTTTCTTTTTTAGGTATTCGAGCAACTGACTTTTTTGGAGCTTTCTATATGAGCAACACAACTGATGTAGAGATGGCAGGTTTGGACTGTGATAAAACAATCACAGTGGAATTCAAGCATGATGACAAACTGAGTGAAGACAGTGGTGCACTCCTTCAGGTGAGGAGGGAGGCTTTGTAGGAGAAAGAATTGAGTTGACAATTTAGAATTGTCAACAAAACTGTGTCCAGGCAGAACCAAATCTCATCAGGGGAGAGTGCCAGTTGCAGAAGAGGATGAGGTTGCTCTGAACTGAGTTATTAGACACTCCTTCACAGAACTGTTCATTCTTTCTTTCTGCCCCTTACTATACCCTTAACTTTTCAGCATACTTGTTCTCAGGGTGACCTAGACTACTTCAAACTACAGTCTGTTTTCCAGGACCAGTTCCCTTTAATACAAACTAACATTGCTGCTTGTTATCTTTCATTGATTCCGACACTTAGCATATGCTTTTAGCTTATTGTGCAAGTCTTTTATATAATTATCTTATTTGTTTAGGCATCTGAGTTCTAGTTTTTAATGAAGTATATTCAGACTCTGCCTTTCTTATGGTAGTAGGACTTAATTTTTCTGTATCCTGGCATTTTTGTCTCCTACAGTGTGCTCTGTTATATACAAGTTGTGCAGGACAGCGACGACTCCGCATCCACAACCTCTCCTTAAACTGTTGCACGCAGCTTGCTGACCTCTATCGAAACTGTGAGACAGACACGCTCATCAATTACTTGGCTAAATATGGTAAGTGTAAACATAGTAACAAGAATTGCAACCTTTAACTACTGTTAAAATGCTTGTTGTCACCCAATGACATCTGTTTATTCTCTTTGCATCAAATGTCAGATGGCAATCCTGATACTTCAGTCATTTATGGGAAAGCGGATGAAGCTGTGATGATAGTATTGTTGCTTAGGATTAGAGGTACAGATGGAGGGTGTAGGATTATCCTTCACATAAATTCTGCTCTAAATTTTTTTAATAGAGGTTTGTATTGACAACTGTCTGAATTCTATCTTGTATTTATTTATGGACTGCTTTAGTTAGTTCTTTAACTGCTACAGAATTTTGCTCTGGGAATAGGAAGTGGTGGCCTTTGCTCATAGATCTGGGTTAAATATCATACTTTTATGTATTGTAGCCTATTTACCCTTTCTAGTTTGCAGTAAAAGCCTACAAATCCATCAGAGATTTAGAGTTGTATATGTTTATTGCCATTAAAATGTAAGAAACAGTCCATTTTTAGGCAATTAAAGAAAGATGGCCAGGTTATAAAAGGAGTTTTTATAATACTCTGTGCTTTCAAGTATGACTAAGTGTATTTTAAAGTACATGAGATAGAGGTTGAAGAATATGTAATAAAATGGAATAAATGAGCTTCTTCAGATCTTTGATAGGAATGTATCATCTCTTTCCCACAAGTTTGAAGGGGAGAGGAAAAAAGACTTTCATAAACAATAGTTGTTTGGATTTACTTTGTGGAAGTAGTGTTGGGGGTTTTTTACTGTTTATGTCCATAGCTGTCTGTTTCTTTCCTCTTTTTGTGCAGCATATCGTGGAGTTCTGAGTAGTCCAGTAAAGACTGTACGAGATGCACTGATCAACCAGTGTGCCCAGATCCTAGCTTGCTATCGAAAGAACTGTGCTAGTCCATCTTCTGCTGGCCAGGTAAATTTCAATGCTTTCACTTGAATCACAGGCTCAGATATTGAAAAGTGATGAGAGCTTCTTCCTACCTAGCCTACTCAAAAAAAGTCGATTGCTTTCCTCAGCAGAAATTTGCAAAGAGAAGACTCGGGGAAGCAGAGAGACTGCAAGTAAAACTATAGTTCCTAGTGTCTTCTTGGACATCTGTCTGGGGCCCAGGAAGGACTGCCTGCTCCAGGGAAAAGTTTTATGTTACTTTTGCAAGTCCATGATATAATTAGACTATCCACTTTCACTCCTCACAGCAGTATCACACTTTGTTGGTTCATGCAAGCCTCGTTTTGTCAAACATAAGCTTATTCGGCAAGACAGCTGACCAACTTCTGTCTGCTTGTGACTTGTAGCTGATCCTCCCTGAATGCATGAAGCTGCTTCCTGTGTACTTGAATTGTGTGTTGAAGAGTGACGTCCTTCAGCCTGGTCCGGAGGTCACAACGGATGACCGTGCCTACATTCGTCAGTTAGTCACATCCATGGATGTGGCAGAAACAAATGTTTTCTTTTATCCTAGGCTTTTGCCCTTGGTGAGTAATTCAGGATATTCTTACCACTTGAGACTTGCTGTTGTCTTGAGTCATCGTAAGGACTGGCATTTGTATTTTAGCAAGGGAAAGCGATTTGAGAAGGATTTGGGGTCTGCCACCTGTTGGGAGGCTTCACTTAATTCCACTCAGTGATAGATACGTTACTGCATCTTGTGAATTTGTTGGGGGATTTTTTTTCCTGAGCTGTGAGCATATGACTAGTGGCAAAGAAGACACTTTTGACATTTTTGACCCTTTCACAGTCTTTTAAAAGTCCTAAAGCTTCTTGTAACTTTATGTAGTAATTTTCATCATTGCAGGGCGACTCCACGTACGATACTGACTTTTCAGTACCATAGTTGCTGGAATAATGCTAACAACATTCCTACTCCAGGAGGCAATATTGGAACTACAGAGTAGTTTCACAGAAACCTTGTGTTCTCTTTTGCTGACCAAGAGTCTCTGATCTGCTTCTGTGTCACATCCAGTAGGAAAACTAAGCTAATGAAAATGATACTTCAGTCACAGTTGTTGCAGTCATGAGTCATAAAAATGAGGAAAAACATTGGGGTCTTAGTGGCTGAAATTTTCAGGACTTCATAAGATGTTCTTGTTTTATAACCTTGATTTTATTTTATTTTATTTTTTATTTCACTCTAAAACAGACCAAAGCAGATGTTGACAGTGACTCCTTGCCAGCAGCAATCCGGAACTCAGAGGAACGTCTATCCAAGGGTGACATATACCTGCTGGAGAATGGGCTGAACATCTTCGTATGGGTGGGAGTCAACGTGCAGCAAGGCCTGATCCAGAACCTCTTTGGAGTGTCATCCTTCAGTCAGATCAGCAACACCTTGGTGAGCTGGATGGCAGTGCGAGAGCTAGTGTCTGTGATTAGTCACCCAAAACTTAAAACTATGAGAAAGCAAGTTGAGAAAATTGTGGTAAATTTTTCATACTAGGAACAAGAGAAGCACAGGTTTGTCAAACTAGTTGGAAATCTCTGTAGTCTGGGCATGTCAGGCATGCTTTTGCCTAGCTTTACTTGACAAGCCACATCTCCACTCACAGTGAGAACAGTTGATGTGTAAATAGAATGAATAATTGACTTTTAATTCTGATATCAAGTTATATTCCCTTTTAACTAGTTGAGGTCAAAGAGATGGTATGTTAACATCTCCACCGTTACATAATATGACAAAACTGTGGAGTTTTGTTTAATGTTGCTCTGCTTCACATGACTAATGGGGATTGGGTATCTTTCATTCCAGAGTACCCTGCCTGTCTTGGAAAATCCCTTTTCAAAGAAAGTACGATCTATTGTTGACATGCTTCAAGTGCAGAGATCCCGCTACATGAAGGTAAAAAATGTCCCCTATTCGTAGCTTTAAATCCCCTTCCCTTTTCGCAGAGCAGGTGATGTCTGGTAATGCTGCAATGCTGAGCTTTTCCTGATATCATAAATGTGATTCAAACATAAGGTTTTCAAGGATCTGAAAGAAATTTTATTACTAGTTTTGGACTTCTGTGTTTACCATAATTCTAAAACTAATTTTTTTTGAAACCTATTATAATATACTACTGCACAAACCACATACATGGTATTTTCCTTTCACTTAGAAAGGATTGAGACTTAACCCAGCTTAGTTACAGAAGTCAAAGCACATAAGCCATATCTGCTGAGATTCCGGTTATTTTGTGTTTGGATTTTTGAACTGTTTAGCTTTTTTCTGTTTTTTCCAAGGACATTAATTCTACTAACTACTCACTGTTGGTTTTGTTCTTGTTTTGTTTTTTGTAGTTAATAATTGTGAAGCAAGAAGATAAGCTGGAAATGCTGTTCAAACACTTTCTAGTGGAGGACAAGAGCTTGAGTGGGGGGGCTTCATATGTGGACTTCCTGTGTCACATGCACAAGGAGATTCGGCAGCTACTGAGCTAGAGGAGGGAGTGGTGCTGGAACTCAACAGTGACATTTCAGTCTCCGCTAGTGACCTGATCAAAAGGCCCAGCGCCCTCAAAAAGGACAACATAGAAATCTGTACAATTCCATAATTTTTAATACACATTGCATAAGCAGAAATCCTTTCAACCTCTCCCAGTCCCGTATGAGAGATGAAAAATTTTCCTGGTGAGGGCTAATAAATAAAAAAAAAAAAAAAGGCCTTTGATACCAGGTCTTTTACTTGCATCTAAATTGTTTCCTGTGCTTGGCAGGACTTCACCCCCCCACCCCATGCTCGCTAATCCTGTCGTAATGAATGTAGTTTTCTTCAGTTCACTGTACATGATTCAACATTGGGTGAAAAAGCGATAACTCTTCAAAATTTCTGGTAGTTGCTGTGTATTTGTATGGGCACGTGTGCATGCTCCAAGTGTGAAGAGGATGTGCAGGTGGGGAGGACAAGAGGCAGGTCAGGTGATTGGAGATGGAGCAGCCAAACATTTTGTGTCTTCTCTCAAGAGGGAAACATGATGTTGCAGAGCACACATGTATCATGTGGCTGCCTGAAATCCATGAAAAGGAAATGAGTGGTAAGCCAGGAGTCAGCAGGGCAAATTTCTTTCCACAATCTTCCCTGTACTTTAAGTTGCTGTGCAGATCTGTAATGGAGTAAATAATAGTTCAGTGAGCAACAATCAACAGCTGCTGAACAGCGTAGGGGTAGGGATGGTGCTTCCTGTTAGCATGTGTGGTGACTTCTTTCCTACGCATTGCACGGCTCTGTAATGTCCTACTCAATCTATGTTCCATGGCCTCTGCTGCAGAGCTTTCCTGTATATACAGATGGTGGTGGGAACAAAAGCCTCTTAACCTTAAGCAGAAAATACTTTTAACAATGTCATGTGGGGCTGTGTGGGAACTGGATGATAAGGAAGCGGCCATTTTCAACCATATTATTGTGAATCATAGCAAACAAGCAGGAATTTGATTTATACTGATGCAAATTTGATACTGCTTTGTACCCTGGAATACAAGGAAGGGGATACAAAAACTAAGATTTAGACTTTACTGTAGTAGGTATTGCAAGTACCTGATTTCGGTTATTGAAAGCGTCTGGGCCATAGTGAAGAGTTTCATTACTGGATGTTTATAGCCTCCCCCATTCTACCTACTGATCAGCTTGCACAAAACCTTTTTATAAGCCTGTTTGTTAAACTAAAATACCTCAGACAGATTAATCCATCCACTTTGGCCACTCTGCTGCTCCATTCTGCAAGGGTGGATGAGAAGACTCCTGCGAAGAGGAGAGCGAGAGTAAATCAAATTCAGAATTTTAAGGGCTTCGTTTATTCACTTTTGAAAGGGGGCTTGTATATTTTAGCTTGAACGCTTAACAAGTGTTCTTAAAATGTCCAGAAATTTAAGCTACCAATAGCACTAAAAGTGGAAGGAAGAATGTGGGTGGATTAGAGAACACATTATCTGGGCTTGATATTTCAGAGGAAAGTCCTTGTTAAGATCAGAAAAATACCTGGCTGTGGTTTTAGTTCTGTATCCTGTAGCATGTATATAAATCCATTTTTCTTCTAATGCTGCTAGTTTGTCTTCCCTTCCATCACTACACAGAAAGGGGAATATGAAAATTGTAATGGAGAAACTCTTTCAAGATGTAGTTGACAGAACCTTCAGTGTTTTTGTATGAATGTGGCCGACTTTTTACTCCACATACTGCCTCCAACCAAAAAGCTAGAGGATTTTTAACCAGAGGGGAAAAAGAACTTCCCAAAAATATAAGGCGCAGCAACCACAGACTTCCACAAATACTAATTTCTAGTATTAATATTGGGGGGTGTGGGGGTGGAAATGAAATCATAAATGAACCTTTCATTTTCTTCACTTGTTTTTCCAATGCATCTTTTAATTTGTAAAGAAATAAAAATATATTAAGATGTATTTTATGTCATTGTTAGTAAATAAACACTGCTTATTTTTCCAAACCCTGTATTTTACGGGAGGGAGGAAAGGGGAAGGGCTGAAGTCTAGCTGATCGATCCTTTACAATCCAATCTTCTGCTGACCAAGTCAGGTTTTTTTTTTTTTCCTCATTCACACAGAATGATAAGAAATTCAACAAGAGACAACAGACAAAAGGTGCTGTTACTTTGCCTAGACAGTAGTGTTTTAATTTTCTGCGCATTCTGAACTTTCATTTTGCAAAGAGATTTCCCTTTTCTCTAACACAACTTGAGTCAGATTGATTGGAGGGTTTTTGTTCTGTTTTGGAAAGTATTACCCTTACCTTGTGACAGCGTTAAAGACTTCTACAGTCTTAATTTTTTACAGAAACAGAGCTCTTATTTCAGAGTTAAGATAGCAGGGAAGCTGGGTGGGTTTGGCTTTTTTTTGGGGGGAGGGGGGGTGCTAGTTGCAAAAATAAAGCTCAGAGTGAACTGGCAGTGTAACTTTGACTGTAGCCTAGAACATTGATATTTATTGTACAATTTGCTGATAACCTTACAACCATCTCTATGAAAGCACAAGACAGTCATTGCTAAATGTCCAACAATACTTAATTTGCTGTAGAATATTTTTGAGATTACTTTCCTACAGAATGTATATTATGTCCAGAATTTGCTGCTCAACTGATGTAGTGCGATAATGATGGGCTTTGTTAATCGTGTGGAGTAAATTGTGCTTGCGGGCATTTTTGTGGCAGCACCCCTTCTGATGCATATGGAAGTTGCCTTGCAGAGCATTCTGTCAGGATATAAGTGGAGGAGCTGGTGGGGATGGCATGGGGGTGGTAGTCTTTCTACAGTGGATCATGACCCCGCAGCGGTGTCGAGACCTAACTTTTCAAAGGAAAGCAAAAATATTCCCATGTTTTAGCCTGTTCCTTATACAGATACTTCTTTGCTCGTATCCATACTAATGTCCTGTATTATGAATTATCAGTTATAAGTATTGTGATTGGAATTAAGTTATCTCTTAAGGAATGAAGTGGAAACTTTCAGCAGTTCTAAGCGATGCAGGTGTCTTCACACCCGGATGCTGGTGCCTCGGAGGCAGAGAGGATTTACATCAGCTCGGAGTAAGCCTGCACAAATACTGAACTGCTGCTCTTGTCTTAACAGACCTGTGTTACGTTTGACACCTTTAATTTGCGTTGAGGATACAAAGTGACGGGAGGGGCAGAAAGACGGTACCGCGGCCGCCTTTGCCCCGCTTCCGGGACCGCCCCCCCGTCCCGCGCCGCGCCGCGCAGCTCTCTGCCGGCCG